ATTGGTGACGGTGATAGCAATGTATTAAAAAAATTAAGAGATTTTCCGCCGTATCCGAATATTGTTGTGGAGAAGATTGAATGCACGAATCATCTTCTCCGCAATATGTGCAATAAAATACACGAAGCGGGTAGTAGTGGTGATAGAAAGATCTCTAAATTACTAGAACTGTGAATTAATTTTGAGGGATTTTTTTGTAAATTCAAGGCTTTATTGTGAAAAATTGTGTACATTATTATTTTTCAAAGTATTGTCCATCGCTAGCCACTACTTTTTCCCATCTTTCTGGCAGCATACGGATTCCGCGTCGAAAGAACAATTTTATCTTTTGATGCTATTCACCAATCGATCCAATTTTTCGTATCTTCGTAAGATTGGAAGCGCTGCTTAGCCAGGCCGTATTGCATGGATCGGAACAAGTAGTAATCCGATGAAGCAATATCTGGTGAATATGGGGGGGAGGGGGTAAAACATCCCATTTCAGCGTTTCTAAGTATTTTTTGACTACACGAGCAACATGTGGTCGAGCGTTGTCATATTGAAAAATTATTTTATCGTGTCTTTGCTCGAATTGCAGCCGTTTTTCTTTCAATGGCTCAAACGCATCAATTGTGTTCGGTAGCGTTCACCAGTGATGGTTTCATTCGGTTGAAACAGCTCATAGTACACAACACCAAGCTGGTCCCATCAAATATAGAGCATGAGCTTCGAATCATGAATATTCGGCCTTGACGTCGATGTTATGCATGACCCGATGTTGAGGCAAATCCCACGATTTTCTACGCTTAGAATTATCGTAGCGTATCATCGCCCATTTTTCATCGCTAGTGATACGATGCAAAAACCCTTTTTTTTTTGCCGTTGAAGCAATTGTTCGCACGTGAAAAATTGCGGTTCAACATCTCTCGGCTTCAATTCGCCGATGGCACCCAATTTCCTTGCTTTTGAATTATACCGAGTGCATTTAAACGTTTGGAAACTGTTGTGCGATCAACATTCAACGATTCAGCAAGTTCCTCTTGCATTTGACATGAATCTTGGTCGAGTAATGTTTCCAATTTCTTATCTTCGAACTTTTTCGATTCAGGGCGTTCTTTGTCAACTGTATCGAAATCATCACTTCTAAAACGTCGAAACCAATACTCACACGTTTTTATCGATGGAGTATGTTCACCATAAGTTTCCAACAGCACTCGATGACTTTCTGCAGCACTTTTCCTTGAATTAAATAGGAAAAATAAAACTTCCCGCAAATGGTGTTTTGTTGGCTCGTAATTCGACATCTTCGGAGCTGAGAAAAAATATGTTGTTTACACTTCAGCAAAATGACACATAATAAAAAGTAAAGCCTAATGACAGAGCTTTGACATGAATATAGTTACAGAAGTGTTCGATGCGATATAGCATAAGTTACGCGATCTATTGTAAATCCCTCAAAATTAATTCACAGTTCTAGTAAAAAAAGTTGTTACGAACAACGTAATGAAAATTCGAAACGCTGTAGTAAAAGCTGTAACGTTTCGTCGAAATTGTAAAGGATCTCGAGGTCAAAAGTTCACAGGATTAATAAAAAATTTATTAAATATACCCAGGCATGTATTCGGTGAGCATAAAGGTTATTCTTCTCTTAAATATTTTTGTACCGAAGAACGAAAAGAAGGTGAAGAAAATCTTGTGCCCCAATTACAAAAGGCTGGGCTTAATTAAAGATTGAATTTACGATGAAACGTGTAATAGAGAATGCTAATAGTTTACTGTATTAATTTACAAGTAATTCCGTGGAAAGTTGCAATGGAATTATTAGTAAATTTATTGATGGCAAACGTATTCATTTTGCAAAAAAGATTCTTATCAAACCCGCGTGAAAGCATCCGTAGTACAATTTAATACTGGGCAAGCATTAAGTTCTACTTGTCACGCAATAGGTAAAGAAGCACGTAACGAAGCCTGCATGTACACAAATAATAGAAAAAAAGTATATTTAAAAAAATTAAAACTATCGGCAACGCGCACGTGCAGCAAAAGAATTAAGTCTTTCTATTCGTACATCAAAATATTTTGCTAAAACTTTTATGGCCGATAAAAATTACGGACCAAATGCGGAACGACTAGATATAGAAGGTCATATGTACGAACAGCTGAGATCTAATCATTATCAAATATTAAAAGATCAATAATGCAATCGTGCTGTATTGGAATGTGCTACACGGGGTCAGCATGAAAATCCGGAGTGGCACAACATACGGCGAAATCTTCTCACTGCTTCAAACTTTGCAGCAGGAGGGAAACAACAAGGATCATTCTGGTGCGGACGCTGGCTAAATACAGTCGTGTAGTTGTCATTGTCGCGTGAGAATTTTTGTGTTTGTCGCCGCTATCGAGACCGAATCGAGGACGAGGCCGAGGACCATTCCCGAAGGAGGAAACGTTATCGTTGAGGTTGCCCATCATTTGTGTAAACCACGTACGCGATTTCGTCCGCGTGCCAGCCGTTCTGCCGCCGTCGCCATCTTTTTCGTGTTTCGCGACCGCTCGAGCCGTTTGCCGAGACGGTGATATTTCGTGAATTTGTCGGGCGACCGGAGGCAAGCGACCGAGGAAGGACCATCGTAGCGTAGGCGTTAAATTGATAAGACAACGTTTCGTCTCTCTCCGGGTTTCGGGTGTTCTTTACGCGAAGCTATCGACCGGCGAATATCGGCCGCGTGCGCGAAGGATCGTGAAAGCGAATACCGCCCGGATTGTCGTACCGCTGTTGTCGCCGCGTAGAATATCCCGTGACGTATCTCAGGGCGATTTTTGGATGTCTGATTGCGTGTATGTCGTCGTTAATTGTAAAAGTGCGTGTGAGCGTTTTTGATATTTCATTGTAGAGTGAGCGTGAAAGTATTTGCGTCATTGTCGCGCTTATTACGCCGCCGAAAAGAGCGTAACAAAGGGTAACAGAATATGATCGTCTTTGTCGCGCTTATTACGCTGTCGAATGGCGCGTAATAAATAATATGTAGCGTCTGCCGAATTTATCGTGGTGCGAGATAATTGCTCAAATAGTGAGGATAAAATTGAGCGATTTGCGCGGAAGAAAGAGGCGAGACATCGGCGGAGAAAATTCTCCGGCTGCCGTCGGCTATCGAAATTTGAGATTATCGTTCGCCTATCGCATACGTGATCCGTCTTCGCAAAAGTATTCAGTATTTCCGGTTACTTATGTTGTCGAATTAGTAAGCTGTCGATTTGTTTCGCGAATTAGGAAATTGCGGGGAAAAGTCCGTTGCAATAAGTCATCGATCTGGCTACAGAAATTATGCTATCGTTTGAATAATATCCGCGAATATTTTCGTACCGAAAATCCTTAGTATTCCGTAAAGTCTCGCTCAATCCTGCGAACTCCAGCCATAAAAACGGGCTCGGATAAACAACCGAATTGTATTACCGCTCTCATTTTCGTTGTCGATTCGAGCAGATACTTGGTCAGAATACCGTCGCAATTTTCGTGCCAGGATTAATTATATTGTCTTTTTCGCTTTCGTATTTCGTTACGAAACTCCTTCATTGTGACCCACACTCACATTGTACATTGTTTTCTTTTTGGAATTAATAAACTTCTTTTAAAAATTTAATCCACTCACATTTTGATTCACGTTGCTAAAGTTCTAACACCGATCCATTTATTATGAAGAAAATTCACTCGTAGTGTTACTTATTTCATAAAACAAGGATTTGAAAGCGGGTATATCAGTTAAGGGGTAACACTACCTTGTAAATTTTTTTTTAACCATTTTTTTTATTGGCTTAAATTCTTCCTTAACTATCCAAAAATGATGCCCAAAACATTTTATGTGGAGGAAAATTTTTAAAGTGGCCGAAAAATTCGGTTTTCCGAGTAAAGTCACGGTGCTATTTAACGAGTAATTAGGGCATGTTCCATAACGGTACAGTAGGGGTCACTATTCCTTCGTAAACATATTATACTTACATCAGTAAGATAAAACTTGAAAATGAAACCATTAGATGTCTCTACTACTCGAATTTTTAAGAAACAACAGCTGACGCCAGAAAAACCGTTAGAAGTAGAGTTTTGCTTGCTCTCGTAAGAAGCACGTGTTTCTTGGTTCTGTTGAGTTTTTATTCGATATTTTTGTATAATTTTGATCAAAAATGTATACAAGTGACAGAAAATCACGCAAAGGAACGAAAAGTAGCCAAGCAACAGTGAGAAGAAAAGGTGTGAGAGGCGGCACCCCGAAAAATCGATATCTGCTAGAGCAGTCGGCTGAGAGCGTCGGCACGTCCTCTAAAAAATTGAAGTTATCGGAAAATGAGTATGATATTGATTACGATAGCACTTTTGGCTATCGTTTACTATGTTTCGCATCAGTTTTCTCTGCTCTATCGGAAGTGTTGGTGTGCCATACGTGCCACAAGCCAGTGAAATTCACTGAAGCAAACAAACAAGGATTAGGCTTCAAAATCGTTATAAGCTGTGAGGCGTGTGAACCAGTGCACATAAATAGTTGCCCAAAAATTAATAATAAAGCGTATGAAGTAAATAGACGAATGGTTTTGGCAATGCGTTTGTTGGGAATCGGTTTAAATGGAATAAAAAAGTTCTGTGCGTTTATGGATTTGCCTCAACCAATATTTCAAAAAAGCTACGATGAAATCATCAAAACTTTCCGCGAGGTATCCGAGTCTGTTTGTTCTTTTTCCATGAAAAATGCTGCGCAACAAGAGAAAATAAAATCTGTAGAAAAAGGCGAAAACAATGGTATTACAGTCTGAGGTGATGGCTCGTGGTATCGTCGAGGTTTTTCGTCACTATTCGGAGTCGTTTCGCTTATTGGATGGTTCAATGGGAAAGTTGTTGACGTTTGGTAAAAAGTAAGTTTTGTAAAACATGCTTGCACTGGAAATCAAAAGAAAACACAACTGAGTACGAAGAGTGGAAGAAAAATCATGAGTCGACGTGCGAGGCGAATCACGAGAGATCAGCAGGAAAAATGGAAGTAGACGCCGCGACTGAGATGTTTGCTCGCGCGGATGAAAAGAATGGTGTTTCTTATATTAATTACGTAGGTGATGGTGATTGTAAGACTTTCAAGGCTATTGTTGAGCAGAATCCAAATGTCAAAAAAAAAGAATGTATTGATCACGTTCAGAAAAGAATGGGCACCAGGCTTCGAAAATTGGTGAGTAATACAAAAGGATTGAGCGATAGAGGTAAATTAACGGGCAAATTAATAGACGAATTAAGTATTTACTACGGATTGGCTATCCATAGACACTGTAACTCAATCGAGGACATGAAGAAAGCCATTTGGGCAACACTCTATCATAAAATTTCTACCGATGAGAAGCCGCAACATCATTTTTGCCCGGAAGGCCCGAAGTCGTGGTGTGCTTGGCAGCTACAGAAAGCAATCGTGGGAAACACCAACGAGTTCAAGCATAATCCAGCAATGAGCGATGAAGTTTTTAAAGCTATAAAGCCTATGTATGAAGAATTGAGTAGGGATGATTTGCTATCACGTTGCTTGGGCGGGTTCACACAGAACTCAAACGAAAGTTTCAACTCGCTCGTGTGGTCGATGGCTCCCAAGTCAAGTTTCAGCGGCAAATCTGTACTCGATATTGCTGTGAATCTCGCAGTTTTATATTTCAACGATGGATTTTTCGGAATTATGCAAGTTATGAAGCAAATGGGCATTTTAATCGGACTGAGTTGCTATAATTTCTGCTCGGAAGCCAACGCCCCGCGCATCACGCTATCTGAGCGTTCCCTGTCCGTAGAGGCGAGAGAAGCTCGCTCAACATCATTATCGTCAAGGAAGGATGAGGAGCACGAAAATCTTAATTTAGAAGGACAATTGTATGGCCCAGGCATCGCCGATTAATGGTAAATAAAAAATTACATTGAAATATACGTACTTGAAACTTTAAACGCGTTTTACTCGAAACCATGTTTTTCGAGCTGGCCGTAAAGCTAGCGCCTACAATTTTCAACCAATCGACTGGAAATTTTAACTGTAGCTAAAAAATTAAATTTTCTAGTGAACGCCCGTAGAACTTTTTGATTTATGAAAATTTACTGACTTTATAGCCGATTTTCGGCCGATTTTTTCCGTAAAAACGTGTTTCTTTTTTTAAACTGACGCCATTTTTTAAAAAATCAATATTTTGAAAAGTTCTACGGGCGTTCACTAGATTTTTTGATATAATTTCAAAATCTTTTTTGTTTTTTATTCTAGATGCACAATTGCGACCTGTAGGTTTACGGCCAGGGAGGTCATAAAAAAAAAAGATGTTTCATTCCGACAGATGTTGTGCTGCCATTTTGTTTTTAAATGACTTAAAAAAAATTTTTGTATATACTATAAGAGATGTATAATGATGTCTAAAAAACTGAATTTCAATAAATTGTTTTGCCTTTCCACAATAAATTCGAAAAAATGAACCTTGATTTTGACCCCACAAGGTAGTGTTACCCCTTAAATAAGGAACAGTTAATAGCAATGGCGCAGAAATTAGAAATAGACGACACCGGATCTTTCGAAGAATTACGTAGGCGAATCGGTCGGTATTCGGAGGAACATCCCAACGAAATTGAGGCTCGGGTAGGGCAGAGTAGCGCACAACTGCAAGCACCAATGCAAATAACAGTGACCACGCCCGGAAACGAGGTGTTGTGCCGGACGCGGCACAGGGTGTGGGGTAGCCGGGAATTTCAAGTTAATTCCTGGATTTTGGTGCAACTTTTATTATAAATTTCTTTTATATAAATATATTCATTTATTCGACATTAGTCAGTTTCTTTCGAGCCCTCTCTTCGTCGTCCTTTCCTGAATCGCTTCGTTCTTAGCAGGGCTGGTTCTAGTTAATGCGGGGCTGGGTGCAAAAAAAAATGCGAGGCCGATTCTTGCAACTCAAAAAAAAAATTTAAAACAAAGATATTTTTCTCTCCAAAATAAAAATTAACATAAAACCTTTGAACAATAATCTTAAAAATTAACTTTTCTCGCTTTTGCGGAAGCAAAGTCATTAATCACATTAGAAAAATCGGTTTCATGTGATATCTCTTTTTCTATTGACATCATGGCTAGTCCCACCAGTCTTTCCTGTGATGTATTTGAACGTAAGTAGTTTTTTATTAGTTTAAGTTTTGAGAAGCTTCTTTCAGCAGAAGCAATTGTTACTGGTATGGTTAATAAAATTCTAATCGCAATATAAATATTCGGATAGACTAGATTTAGTTTTGATTCAATTAGGTAGTTCAGTACATCTAAAAGGCAACTTTGACTGTTTTCTGGAACTATCTGAATGAAAGATAACAATTCTTCAAGAAGATCTGCTCCATCTACATCAGAATTCTGTCCATCCTGTAAAATATTATGGAAGTCCATGCAGTTTTTCATCAAGTCTTCTTTAGATATTGTTTTTATTTTTCTGAAATCGTAGAGAAATCCAAAGTTATTCCTGAGATCTTCGTACAGCTTAAAACGTTCCTTAAATGATGCAATGGCTTGGTCGGTAACGAGGAGAAAATATTCTATGCGGAATTGTTCTTCTTCATTTCTTATTGGATCATCGACGCTTTCATAATCAAACGGTCGTTTTGATCTAGCAACCCGTTTTTGAGGGAAATGAGGAATAACGTTATTTTGCTCTGCAATAATTTTTGTGGTTTTCACACACTCTTGATAGCCATCTTCTCTAAAAGTTAATAACTCTTTTAGCAGATTATCAAGGAGTGATATGGCCACATCCATTTGCACGTCCCTTTGCTGAAGCATTTTACTTACTCTATTGACTTTTACGAGTAATTCATACCATATAACAGTGGATAATATGAATGGAAAAGATTGAATTTCTTTCAATAAAGAAGTAGCTTCGCTAGCAGCTTTTGGATCTTTAGGTTCGGTTAAAATTTCTTCAAATATTTGTACAAACTCTTTAATTTGGAACCGTACAGCTTTTACACTTTCTACGCGGCATTCCCATCGAGTATCAGATAGCGTTTTTGGTGTAAGCTTTAAATATTTCTTAGTTATATCATATCTATAGTTAGAAGCTGATAAGAATGTGTAAAATCGTTGAATAACACCAAAAAATGTAACAGCCTTGGGAGAAACGCTAGCAATATCTGCCAATACGAGATTTAAATTATGACAGCCACACGGTGTAAAAAAAGCTTTTGGGTTTTCTCGTAAAAGTTGGGCTTGGACACCAGCTTTGTATCCCTTCATGTTTGCTCCATTATCATATCCTTGTCCTCTGCAGTTTGTAAAATCAAGTCCACAATCATTCAGATGTTGTTTTAGAGTTGTTGCCAATCCTAATCCGCTAGTGTCTTTGACCACCAAAAACCCGGTAAAACTTCACATATTTGTACTTCACCGTTGTGTATATGAACATATCGTATGATGCAAGAAAGTTGCTCCTGATGAGAAGTATCTGGAATACAATCCAAAAAAACAGAAAAATACTTGACAGCTTTTATTCGACCGATCACAGTATTTCTGATTTTATTACCCATCAGAGATATAAGTTCGTTTTGTATATTTTTGCTTAAATAGGTAACAACATTTCTTGATTCTTTAGCATGATTTACATGTTCCATTAGAACAGAATCATACCGAGCCATAAGTTCTACGAGGCCTAAAAAATTTCCATTATTTGGAGTATTCAGTAAATCGGATAAACCTCTCAATGCCATATTATGTTCGGCTAGATATTGAATAATGGCTATTACTCTTTCCAAAATATTTCTCCATTTCTGTTTTTCTTCAATATAAAGTTTTTCAGACATATGAGAAATATTAGAACAGTTTGCAGTAGTGATGAGCTAAATAGTTATTTTGCTATAACGGTTACTACGGTTATCGTTATTCACAAATAACTCCTCATTTAAGCAGTTATTTTATATAGTTTTTTTATATAGGTTTTTATACAGTTTTAATTCCATTAAGGGCCACTTCGACCAACTTCGGTTGACTTTAATCGTTGATTAAAATGTTGCAAACACTGACAAAGTGTTTCATGCTAGAAAGAGAGCGAAATATTATGTTCTCTTTCTAGCATGAAACATTTTGTCAGTGTTGGCAACACTTTAACCAACAATTAAAATTAATCGAAGTTGATCGAAGTGGCCCTAAAATTTGTAGAAAATATAATGCATATGTATAGGAAAACTAATTATATTTACTATAAAAGATGTTACGTATTATTACGTTCTATTTGTTAAAAACATAATTGACTGATTTCTTTATAGTGCGTATATATTGTATACATATATATGTAGAACGTAATATCTTTTATATTAAATGTGGTATATATAATATATTAGGTATGATATGCATATTTATATACATATTTATATGAAAGCAAACTTGCATAACGATAAAACATCGCAAGAATTATCGTAATATAGACATTATTTATTAAAATGTAAATTATAGTTAATTTTAATGTAGATTATAATTGAATAATCACAGTTGATCATCACATACTAGTTTCATAATTGCATCTCGATTTTTTGACATCACAGTAATACTAATTACATTAATCTGTTATTATATTAATTAATACAAATAAAATCCATGTATAAATACGAAAAGAAACGTGCACAACTTATTAAATGAACTTATTACATAAACTTTGTACTCAAATATGTAACTTACTACATATAAACTAACATAAATGTAATTGCACGAAGATTTGTGTAATGATGCAAAACAAAATGAAAAATGAAAAATAAAAAAAAAGTATGTTTATATTTAAATAATTAAAAACATAATAAGATAATAGCAAGCTTACTTTTTGACATTTGTATTTAAAAATAATAATTTTTTCATTTTATTTGTAGATCGATTTCTACGGTCTGACAAAAAGAAACCTGCTTTTGAAAAAAGTCTTTCACATGGAACAGACGTTCCTAAAGCACATAAATATTTTTTTGCTAAGTTCGAAAGATATGGGAAATATTTCGTATTTTCTTTCCACCAATTATTTGGATTTTCTTGTCGTGGAAGTATATCTACTTCATCAATGTATCGTTGAATTTCAATTAAAGCTGTAGACAAGGGCGTTTTTTTTGGTTTAGTAACAGTAATGTTATCAAACATGTACCATACAGATAACTCGTCTTTGTCTAATTCATTTTGATCTAATCCACTATTTTTATTTGCAATATTACGTTTTGCTTGTTCAGTAATATCTATATTATTTATTAATGATGAAATGACTACTTTTTTTGCATGTTCAACAGCACTTTCACTGGAAAAGGCTAATCCTTTAAATCTAGGATCCAAAAATGTACATACTGATAGCGTAGTACTACTTTCTATATTACTAAGTCTCGTATTAAAACCATTTTGAAGTTTGGAGACCACTTTCATTACAGATGGTGAAAAATTCTTTTTTGGTAAAGTTGTACATATGTTTCTTAAACCATTTGTTAATGGAATAATTAAACTGCTTCAAATGGCTTTAATATCTGACACATTTCATTAATTATTTTCTATTCTTCCATTGTAAGTTTGGAAGATCCTTATCTAATACAGCTAATGTGCTACGAATTGCAGTCTCAAGCTTAAAAAATCGTTCTAGCATAAAATAAGTAGAATTCCATCTAGTGGGTACATCTTGAATAAGTTTTAAAGGCTGCTCACAATTATTTCTTTGAAATAACATCAATTTCTCATTTGAAATGTAACTCCTTTTAAAATGACCAACAATAATTTTGATTTTCTCTAGAATTTCAGCGATTGCATCAACATGTAATGCATCATTAACAATTAAATTTATTGTGTGAGCAAAACAGCTAAAATGTTTCCATCCTAGTTCTTTAGAAATAGCATTTTTTATATTGCTAGCACTATCTGATACTGCTAACAGAATTTTTTTTTCAATACCCCATTCATGTACAATTCTTCTTATTTCATGTGACAAATTTTGACTTGTATGATTTGTGAACATTACTGAACATTCTAATAGCACAGATATTAATTCAAAATTATCATTAATAAAATGAACTGTTACAGCAATGTAACTTTCTGTATTTCGTGACGTCCAGCAGTCAGTAGTTAAACAAAAACTTGAGCCAGAATTTATTAGTTCTTTAGTATAGGTAAGACACTCTTCATAAAGAGCTGGTATTGCCGTTTTAGAAATAAAATGTCTTGAAGGAATTTGATAAGTTGGATTTAATGCTCTAACAAATTCTACAAATCCTTTGTCTTCGACAATACAAAATGGTTGGAAATCTTTAATAAATAACTGTAGTAACTTATTATCAATTATTTTTTTCTCTTTATTAGTGAGCTTTTTTGGTATATATGATGAGATCTTTTCGCATTTATGAGACTCAAATTTTTTCTGTAATATTGATTTATTATCGATACCTGTTTTATTCTTAATATCTTCTAAAGTGACTGATAAACTGCTTGAAATCTTTCTTGAAGATGAATCAGAAGATATTATTGAACACGCAGGACTAGACATATTAGAATTATTAGATGCGAGGCTTATATCTGCACAATTGCTTGGAGTGTATTGATCAGGTTCATCATTCATTTCTTCATCCAAACATGATATTAAAGAAATATCCTAAAAATAAATTTTTAGCATAAATTTATCTCAACTATTGATTGAAAATAAAATATTTTTATTAAATATTTTCTAATTTTTTCATAAAGAAAAATAAGTTAAATAATTCATCTCAGTATGCATATAATAATATTAATTTTATAGAAAGATAAAAAATGTGGCAAAATATAAATAGAGATTGAAGAAAAGATACATATGTAATTATACATATGTATTTTTTTATGAGAATTAAACAGGATTCTTACCTCATTTTGATTGCATACTGATAAATTGATTGCAGGTACTTTACTTGTAGACGGTAAAGCTACTGTTGGATGTCTTGCTAATATGTGTTTTCTTAAATTATTTGTGGTACTTCTATATGAAAGTTTATGTTTGCACAAATTACAAGACGCAAATTCAGTATTAAGAATAGTAAAAAAGGACCATATGTCACTAGTTTTTCTTCTTTCTTTCGGCATCTTGCCGAAAATATGATAAAATATATGATAAACAGTATGTAACAGTGTAAATGTAAAGTATTGAATGTACTCGTGTTATATCAGTAAAAGAAGGTTAAGTCACCCATTAAGTCTATCTATTGCACAAGATAACCAACATGCTTTGCTAAAAATTGAAAACCAATAACATAGGTTGTTGCCTTGGGTGCGTTCTGTTTCACGCATATGCGCGCATTTGTCTATAGTACACGTCACGTATATTATAGATCATGCGCGCATTATGTGTGAAACGGAACGCACTTCTTGTCAACTCGATGTTGATTTGTTAGCTTTAAAAGTAAGAGCCAATCACGTTTGATTGCAATTAAGCGGTTTGTTCTGCTGAATGCGCTATAATCTATCTTATACCCGGTCTACATCTATAGTTTACGTAACGTAAACTATAGATTTTCAGTAGGATTATTCGTCGGTGTAGACCGGGTATTAGCATCTCTCTTCAATAGCGACTGCGCACAATCAGGACTTAATCTATCTTTTATGAGTACGTTCGCTTTGACACTTATAGCGCTTTGGCGCTTCTTCCGACTTTTTTCTTTGTAAAAGAGAGAAATGTTCAAAACAGCCTATTTATTTAATGATTGAATGCGCCGATTGGCTATCAGATAGGGAACTTCTAAAATTTCCAGAAAGATTCTTTAGATATGTTCCGAGAGAAACGATGAATAAAATACGTATGTACATACATACATATAACAAAGTTATAAAATAACTGGTATTAGGGAAAATTGATAACGAGTTACAACGGTTATCTTCCGATAACAGTTACAAAGTAACAGGTACGAAAATACCGACCATCACTAGTTTGCAGCACTAATACGAGCTAAACGAGCTTCATTCCATGTGTCTATAGCTTTGAAGTGTACTTTAGATACTTCGTGTTGTTTAATTCTCTCTGATGCATGCTGCCAATCATTAAATCCATGTGTCTCCAACTGGCCTGACCCACTCCAAAACAATTTGCAAGGAAAACAAAAGATAGCATTTTTTTCTTTTGAATATACTAGCCAATGTCTATCAATTTGTTCGCTATTGCTCATTTTCCTTGTGTAATATACTTCCGAAAAGCATCTATTCTTTTCATCTTTCGGATAGTTATTTGAACAAATTTTACGGGGTCCTTTTTCAATTAAAATATTTTT